CATAACCTCATATAAAATAATAATCTTATATTTATGTTTGCGTTTGAAATAAATTAATGTGGATTGTAAAATTTGCAGTAGAATATGATTTTGATTTGAGGATGATGAGGAAAAACATTTATAATTTTGCCGAAAACACATTACCCAATATAAATATATGATGATCAATTTGAATTTAATTTTCGTCTGAAACCAGCAACTTTTAATATTCTCTTTCATAAAGAAATATTATCTTCAGTAAGCAATATTTTAAACTATTTTGGGTGCCAGGTCACCAAGGAATCGAAGGCAACGAAAAGGCTGACGAACTTGCAAAAAGAGGGTCAGAAGAAACACCGGAACCAGGCACAAACCCAGGAGTGCCAAGAAGTACAGTCCAGGGTTTCATAAACGACTGGATTCGGTAACAACATATCATCTATTGGGGAAACACCCCAAAACAGGCACATGGAAAAGCCTTCATAGGCAGACCATGTCCCAAAAGAACTGGAGAACTACTCTCAATGAATAGGAACCAGTTGAAAGTGACAACAGGGTTCATGACTGGGCACGCCCCAGTAAAGGGGCACTTTAACAAAATTGGCATGTACAATGGGGAACTCATGTGCCGACTATGTCACAAGAAACCAGAAACGGCCAAACACATACTGTGCGAATGCGAAGCTCTAGAACGCAAAAGACAGGCTCTTTTTGGACACAACCCAAGGTTGGTCCAACAACGTATAGAACCCGCTCACCCAAGGATCTGTACAAACTTGTACAAGGTACAAAGGTGACAGAGTGGGTGCTATGAACTAACATGGGGTAAAACACAATAAGCCAATATGCTTCAGTGTTATTCGGAGACACATAGTCAGACGAGCCCAGGAGAGGGAAAAAAAGCAATATTTTATTGTTTTCTGATATTAAAATAGAATTAAACCTGCACATCCACAACATGGAGGAGAATAAAAGATAATATCGACAAATCGCAAAACATCCAACGGGTATTGATTACTGCGCAAGCTTGCTCCTGAGTCACCTTTCGCTGAGGTGGTGCAGAATAATTTACTCAATGTACTCTACTCACTCCGCCTTATTTGAACGTAATAGAGTTATCGCGGATCTCTTGACGAATGTAATTTGAACGTGGAGAGTGCGATAGAGTAACTCCTCGTACGCGGTGTGAGCAGCCCGAACTCAACACTAATAAAAAATGGCACAGCTGTGCGATGCTGTGAAACTAAATATTTTTTGCGTTTTCTTAAAAAATTGTGAAAAATTACTAAAGTCCTGAAACTTGCACGAAAAATAGGTCTTAATTTATTCGACTTGTACACAACTTGCAACATCTAATTGAAAATTGCCAAGGCACATGCGCATTCATTTAAAATTTCTTACAATACATCAAAATTGCATAATGCTTGCACAATACATAACAGTTTTTTAACCCACTAGATAACGTTAAAATTAAATGTTGTGCAATGAACAGACATATTGCTGAATTTTCCATAAAATTTCCTTTCAAATTATTTGTTACTTGACAATACATACCTGCTATTAAAAAAAAAAATAGGGGGTTGCTGCAGGGAGTTGGATTTCTGGGTATGAATTTTATATGACAATTCGTCTTCTTGCTAATATGTGGTGTTTTTCTGTTTTTCTTAAATTTACGAAATATCCAAAGTTATTTTGACTGACTGGTTTTGATATGAAAGCATGACACAACTTCATGAATTTATTCACAAATATAAAACTGAGATTATAACAATCTGATGTGTCCAACACATGACTTTCGTATCTAGTTATTATAGGCATTTTCCGGTTATTTTGTACAACCTATTGCAGCATCTCTATAAATGTTTAGAGGATAAACTAAATATATACATTTTACACATACATCTACCTCGAAACATTTTTCTATAGATATTCATTGAAAACGAAAATACAGAAAAATTTAAATTTAGCACTTTTCCATTACGGTCCATTTTAGAAAAATCATGTATAAACAAAAATTATAGAAATCGATATCGCAAACAACTTTTAGTTCAACAATTTTCATAAAAATCAGAATTTTGCACATTTTGTCAAATTTCTCGAATACGGACCATTTCAGGAAATTTTGACATAAAGCAAAAATTATAGATAATAATATTAGAAGTAACTTTTATTTGAACAATTTTCTTCTCCAAACATAAATAACAGATATATTCCATAAAATATAAAAACGGCCTCCCATAAAGTACCCCCCCAGATGTTCCGACTTTGTCCAAAATCTAATCATTTCACGTCAGGCCGAAATAAACCTTAAGTTTAAAATTTAATGTTTTTTCCTTCATCCGTTTTTGAGTTTTCTTCAAATTTCGAAATTTACACATTTTCTCAAATATCTCGAATACGGTCCATTTTAGAGAAATTATGTATAGGACAAAAATTATAGAGAATTATATTACAAACAACTTTTATTTAAACAATTTTTATAAAAAATTATGTTTTTTACATTTTGTCAAATTTCTCGAATACGGACCATTTTAGGAAAATTTTGCATAAAACAAAAATTAGAAGTAACTTTTATTTGAAGAATTTTCTTCTCCAAACGTAAATAACAGATATATTCCATAAAATATAAAAATGACCACCTATAAAGTACCCTCCCAGATGTTCCGACACTGCCCAAAATCTAATCAGCTCATTGGACGCTGAAACAAAGCTTAAGTTTAAAATTTGGTGTTTTTCTGTGTATCGGTTCATGAGTTATGCGTTATACAGACACACACACACACAGACACACACAGACACACACAGACACACACACAGAAATCATCGCGAAAATAGTCAAAACTGATTCAGGGGACCTCAAAACGTAAAAATCCGTCGAAAACTCGAGGTCGAAAAAAATCATGATTCCTATACTTTCCTTATATCTGTATACAGATAGGAAAGTAAAAAGGTCAATAGGTATAATAAATAAATTAAAAGAGCAAAATCAAGAAATAAAAGCAACAAATATTATAAAATACTTGTATTTCACTTAGATATAAGGGATTGGCATTCGGACAACATATTACGAACAGGATAAAAAAGGCCAAAGCTATGCTAGCTTTGCTTTACCCGATTTTAACATATGGCTGTCAAGTATACTATTCATCGGCCTCCTATTTAAGGACTTTTAATTAAAATATCTGAAAAATTCTATGACAAATGTCTCCCACCAGATCTCAAAAGAGAAAACATAAATGTCAACGAAGGCAACAGTTCTAATAGGAGGCATGGTTGTCTGCACAAAAATCTTTCAATTTACAGACGTCGACAATGACAAAATTACGCGCACACGTTCAATCTCTCGCTAACAAAATCAAACTGATTGGCGAAAAATCGATTGAACATCGAAAATCCAAAACGACGACACTTTTCGCCCACACTCAGATAACGACAACTCTGGTTTTTCAAATGCTTTTCCAGAGGGAACGAGACGAAACTAACATACGCCACAAACACAAATTCAGGTGACTTACTGCGTACAGCTAATAATGTCATTTGACAAGGAGTTGCTAAAATACCACAAAATTAGTTAAGAATCATCTGTCTGGCACCCAGGTACACCCCCCCCCCCAGGAACCTACCCGAAGAAATGATTGTAAATTGAGATGTATATATTTTAAAATAGAAACAAAGACATTTTAGCGAATGAATGCTAGAACAAGTTAATTTAATATTTCACGTTTATTTTATATTTTTATTTATATTTAGTTAGACAAAGAAAAAAAATGAAAATATCAAGCATTCCGAATTGATTGTAGAAATTGTCTTTAGAAAATTGAGTGGCTACCCCTGTATTAATTTTTCATGGTACATGACAAAGAGTGATTTATGAGAAATAAGCAAAATAAAAGAAACCACATGTTAATATGATTGAATAGGAACAGGAATCATTTTCAAGCAGATAGTTATTCATCTCGTAGTTATCTCTGATTTATGTCAATTTTTAAAAGACAAAATTTATATTTATAGGAGAACATTTATGTCTTGTAGTGTTTTGGGGGTAATAAACCACAATAAATATTGCGAATTTGCAGATATTTTTTGGAATACGAAAACTTGATACTTGCATCTGTAAGTCCGCCATATTTGCAGATCTGCAAAGTTACCGCCATATTTTCAAGATCTGCAAAGTTGCAGACGTTCTGTAATCTCACCCTAAAGCCCTAAAAAGGTAACTGGTTATTGTAACCTATTAACGTTAAATTGTTTTTTTGAATTTGCTTTATAATGGAAATTGAGGAAAACTCTATTTATTAGTTTTTCCCTTGGTTTTTCCTCATGAACAACGATATAACAAATTTAATTCGCTACCATGTTAGTAAAGGTAGGTATTTTAAGAAACTGGCCGGGATAAAATTGTGTGATGTCGATATGATGCCAAAAAGATTTAGATTTGAAGGCTGGATGTTAGAATTTAATAAGGAACAGTTTAACGTGTTTTTAACCGATTTAAGATAAAATCAGTTTGTTTTCGTGGTTTTTCCAAATAAAGACGTTTTCGTCAAAACTAAAAAATGTAATTGATAAAATTTGCAGGACTCGATAAAATTTGCAGGACTCGATAAAATTTGCAGGGCTCGTGATATTTTTTTTTATTGGTATTACCTGTCACAATTAATTTATTAACAGTAAAATCTAAAGAAGGGTATGAAATAACTTTCAAGAAACTTATTGGTGATATAAAAAAAATTATAATTATAAAATAAAAAAAACCATTAACTTCTTTAATATAATTATTATAAATTGAGGTCGTAGAAAAAGTATAGTACGAAAGTACGAATGCATAATTTACTACTTACAGCTCTTGTTAATATAATATACTATTACTGTAGTGAAAAAATGTCTTACCAGTCCTAATGTGACCCACTCTCTCCTACATAACATTAAGTATATAGTGCCCTTTATTTGGTATCCAAAAAACGATTTGGAATATTATAGACCTATACAATAATGATAAGATCATATTATTGAAAACCTACTTTTAAATCACGATGAATAATAGGCGTCTTGCAATGATGTAGTCGAGAAACTGCTTCACATGTATCACAGAATATAGTTAAAACTTCATTTTCAGCAAAATTTGCTTTGCCTCTACTTTTCATCATTCCAAATACATTTTCTTGGCAAAAAGGCATGAGCAATAAGACTTCATATACCCCTCCACCTGTTGCAGTTAAGCTGGAGTCAATATAACCTATAATATTTTTGTGGCCACTCAGGCTACTCTAAAAACAAAATTAACACTCAATGTTTGTTTGTATGCTGAAATTGTATATCAGTTTTATTTTATATAAAACTTTCAGTAAATTGTTAATAGCTATTCATGAAACCATTTGCGAAATGTCTTATATTATGTAATGAGTGAATATTTGAGGGACAAGAAGAGCGAGGTTCCGCAACATGAACGAATTGTAATGGTTTATATGGCTTAATAAAGTTATTTAGAATGGAAATTAAGGACCAAAACAACATTAAGTTTAACCAAATTCTATTTTATAATAATGCACATTATTGATTTTAAAACAAAAAAAGGTTTATTTTTATTTGTTTTGTTTTCGCAACTGGTGATATAATGAATTTTTCGAAATCAGTTTCTTAATGTTTCTCATTATGCAACTGGTTGCTTAAAGTAGATCATTTTGACACTTGCTGCGATTACAAAAAATTTCACTTTATATGTCAAAATTAGAAGAAAAAAATATTATGTTGCAGTATCCATAAATATTATGAGAACCATAATACATATACATAATAATCCTAAGTAATATAATAAAATTGGAGATAATTGTTTATCAACTTCTAAACCTACAATATTTTTGCCAAAAGTTTGGAATTTTTTAGACTAAGACGGATCGGAATGCAGTTTTTTGCATTTGATTCCAAAAATTTTTTGGAAAAAATGTCCCTACCTTTTATCTTATGCAAACCGGAAATTGCAGTGCTGATGCCAAAAATGCATTTTTTTAGACAGCTATTGGAAGATTAAAGAACTTTGTAAATAAGAATCAGAACTGGCCAAATTAGTTTCCGGGGGTTTTCGAGGTCGCTGATCACGATTATGATGTTCAAATTGACCCAGAGCCGACCTGGAGCCGATGAACGTCATCTCCGTGGGACTCTCCCGAAATTTACATGGGGAAGGAGAGAAACTGGTCGCGCCCGGGGGTTTTTTGGGTCGCTGATTTCAAATATGGCATCGGCGAACGCCCTGCGGACACCTGGTGTGCCGGAACCTGGACGTGGACGTCATCTTCGAGAATTTATTTTTGTGACAAGACCGCCAAAAACAAACCGAAAATCGTTATGGGTTTTTTTTTGGGATGCTGAATTCAAATGTGGCATTGGCGAACACCACCCTGACACCTGGTGCGCCCGAACCTGGACGTGGACGTCATCCCCGAGAATTTTCCTGACAAGAATGCCAAAAACAAACCGAAAAGCATTGTGGTGGCGTTTTTTGGGGCGCTTAATCCATATTTCACGTCGAAAACGATCCCCTGAACACCTAATACATCTGAACCTGGACGCGGTCCTCATCTCCATGGGTGTTCCTCGCACAATCGGAAAAGATGAACCGAAAATCGTTATAGGGATTTTTTGGGGCGCTGAATTCGAATTTCCCGTCGAAAACGACCCCTCCAACTTTCCCAAAATTCACGTGTGGAAGGAAACTCGGCGCCTTAAGAGAAAGTTTCTAAAAGCGTTTCGAGCGTTGAGAGAAAAGTGAAAAGCCGCTCGGCAAAGTTCGGAGATCTAGCTGGAGATTATTCTCATAATTCTCCTCGCTCTATTCAATCCCGGCATTTAGAATTTTACAGAACTGGATCAACTTTTTCGAAGGCCCCAGGCGAGAGTTACACATAAACGAATGTGAATGAATTCAGCTCCCCAAAAAACCCCATAACGATTTTCGGTTCGTCTTTTTCGATTGTGCGAGGAAAACTCACGGAGATGAGGTCCACGTCTAGGTTCCGGCACGGGGGTGTTCGCCGATGCCATATTTGAATTCAGCGACCCAAAAAACCCCCAGGCGCCGAGTTTCTCTCCTTCCCCGCGTGAATTTCGGGAGAGTCCCGCGGGCGTTCCTGAGCTCCAGGTCGGCTGTGGGTCAATTTGTAAATCATAATCGTGATCAGCGACCTCAAAAACCCCCGGGAACTAATTTGGCCAATTCTGACTCTTATATACAAAGTTCTTTAATCTTCCAAAAGCCGTCTCAAAAAATGCATTTTTTGAATGCATTTTTGGCTGCAGCAATGCAATTTCCGGTTTGTATAAGATAAAAAGTAGGGACATTTTTCCAAAAAATGTTTGGAAGCGAATGCAAAAGCCGCATTCCGATCCGTCTTAGTCTAAAAAATTCCGAACTTTTTTGCTTCAAAGCTTCCGACTACTGAACAATAAGATTATTGAGTAAAATTGGGAAAAAATTATTTTAAAATAATATCCATCAAATTAAAGTTTTTTGTACAAAACAACTTTAGCAAAAGTAGGTGTTTTTTGATATTTTACAAAAGCTTATCGAATTTGCATATGAAAAAACGTATACGGTATGGAACAGCCAAATAGAATAAATTAGGTAATAAATAAATGGGGGAGTGTTCGGAAAAACGCCCGGACACATCAATCGGTATTTTTAGGTGCGCACTTTTTTAACAAAAACTTTTTATGCAGGGTACCTATCTCATGTAACAGTGGCCAATACCAACTTTCTTATTTTAAATCCAACACCCTGTATATAGGTCAATTTTTTGATCCTTCAGAAAATTTATGTCCTATACCTAACTGTTTTGGGAATATTAAAACCTAGCTGACTTAAGAAGACGAATAATGCTTGCAATTCGATGGGTCACTCCTGAGATATTGAGTAACGTTAGAAGACATTTTTATTTCAGATTAGGATGTTGCCAAGAGGTTCGCAACGAGCATTTTGAACTTTTCCTACATAGAGATGTGTTTTTATTTTGTTACATTATCAAAAAATAAACAGTATTACTTTTTAGTTTTTGAGTGTGTTGTAACGAATTTCTGTAATCAAATTATTTTATTTTATTAATGTTAATTTTAAATGTAAAAGTTTTATTGGAGGACATTTCTTTCTCTCATATAACTAGGAGTTATGATTGACAGCAATATGAATTGGGATTCAAATGTCAATTTTATCTGTAAAAAGTAAAACAGCGCTTACTATGCAATCCTACAGCTAAAAAATATTTTCAATACTAATCAACTTCTTCAGGTATACTATGCTCTTGTTTATTCTTATCTCTCTTATAACGTTATCCTGTGGGGAAACTGTACAAATGCTTTAAGAGTTTTTATTAATCAAAAAAGAATTATTAGACTAATTTTCAATTTAGAAACAAGAACTACATGTAGGGATAATTTAAAAAAATATAATATACTTACATTCCCAGCCATATACATTTTTAAAACCATTCTGTATGTTAAAAAAAATCATTCATCCTTTTTTAAAAATCAAGATAATCATAATTACCCCACTCGAAACAATGAAGCGATTCGTATTCCAAAACATTCATCAGCTCTATTTGAACTTAGCCCAAACTACTCTGGACTTACTCTTTTTAATCATCTTCCATCCTCGATTGAAACAACCATCCCCTATATTTTTAAAACAAAATTAAAAAACTATTTAATAGATAATTGTGTGTACAGTATAGATGAGTACCTACCTCAATAATGCTATGTTGTTATACCTGATTTATTTTAGTTTTAGTTATAGTTTTATTTATATACCTGACTTATCCTATATCATGTACTATGATCTAAAAGGACACATAAAGATTTATTATTATTTATTATTTTGCAATAAATCGGGAAAGATTAAATATTTCCGAAACAGTTAGGTATAGGTCATAGTAGGTACATAAAATATGTCTAGAATTTTCCGAAGAATCCAAAAATTAAAAAAATATACAGGGTGTTGCATTTAAAATAAGAACGTTGGTATTGGCCACTGTTACATGACACACCCTGTATAAAAAGTTTTTGTTAAAAAAAATGCAAAACTAAAAATACCAATCAACATGTCCGAGCGTATTTCCGAACACGCCCCCATTTATTTATTACCGAATTTATTCCATTTGGCTATTCCACAGTGTATATCAGACAGTTTTACATGTTAGAAGAGGCTATACTAAATTCAGGTGTAAGCCCCTTGGACTGGACTGGGTAGTACCTAGTGATATATTTTATAAAAACAGGGGCTACTGAAGTAACTGCAGGACAAGGGCAGACAATATAACCCATGTCCTGATTAAACATTATCTATCAGAATTTATTAATTATCACTAAATAAATGAAATAATTGAATTAGAAATAAAAATATACTAATTTCTTTAATATTGACAATTATTCAGAGCATAAAACATACAATACTACTATCATTTATATAGGTAAGTATAAAAGAATGTGGAAAGGTAAATTAAACATTAAAATATTTTTAGTTTTCAAAATAAAGACTGTAATGCAAAATATTAATAAAAGGAAATTGGCAGGGCCAAAAGACTCTAGTTTTGTCCTCCTTAGCCAAAAAGCGGATTTATCTATTTTTTATAGCTTGAAAAATTCTACATCAGATTAATTAAGAAAAATAGCAAAACCTCACTCAGAACATTAAAAAAAACCTGAAACAAATTTACATATCTCAACATCACTTGTAGTTACTAAAAGGCTTAGGGGTACACCATTATCGGTACTCTTGTAGTTGACAGATCTAGAAATGTGCATATTCACACCACTCTGCACTGACGTCTACAATTTGAATTTGGCACAAATTTTAATTCTGTAATTATCACTATTAAAATAGTTTAATAGTTATAATAAAGTAATAGTTATTATATAATAAGTTACAATGAGTTACAATAATAAATAAGTTACAATAAAGTACAATAATGGAAACCAATTATATAATAACAAGCACCTAGGTGAGAACACCTGTATGTGCTGACAAAAATTAAAATTTTATTTTAATTATATTTAATGAATTATAAAGGAAATAAAAAAACATTTTTTTTTAAATAAAAAATAAAACTTGAACAATTTATGCAAAAAACAGAAAAAAAAAAACTATTTAAAAAAAATCCATGTATTAAGTCCGTTATTCTTGGAATATTCTGATAAACTTTGCATTATTTTGGAAAATGTATATTTACCTTTACAGAATTTTTTATATTTGTTTAATAATTTTATATGAAGAGCTAGAGCGTTATAGAACTTTATCCCTAGATAATTTACACTGTTTTTAAAAAACTCACTATTTGGTTTTGGTACTTTAATGCACATGTTCGATGCAGTTCTAGTGTTATGCCTATATTCTAAAGGGTTTTCTAAAAATTCATTTTTTGTATATAACAACACACTGTGTGAATATATAAACATCTAACATTGCTAATTTTTTCATTATATAAAGTTATGGTGGGACACAATCTATCTCTTTTATATATTAACTTCAAGATTTTGTTTTGAATAACATTATTTAACTGATTTAATGTAGTTCCATACTGGCCTCCCCATACTAAGATTCCATACCCTAGTATAGATTCTACTAGATTGTAGTATGTTATTAGTAGATCCTGGTTGAGAAATTGTTTTAGAAAATAAAATTTATAAAATCTAAGTTTTTTTGCTATATATATTATATGGTAGTCCCATTCTAAGTGCTGGTCTATAATTATACCTAAATATTTGGATGTTTCTGTTTCCTGTATGTCTAAATTTTGACATGTTAAGCTTCTAAATTGAGGTCAATCAGCCACTGTCTTTGAAAAGGCAATGTAGTTTGTTTTGTTAACATTCAAGGACAATTTAAAAACACCCAGCCAGTTTTTGACATGTTCCATTCTAGCTATAGCATGTGTCTTGACGGCTTCCCAATCTTTATCACTGAAGACTAGCACTGTATCATCAGCATATGATACAACTTTATCTTGAATATCAATCTCAGTTAAGCTCTTAATGTATAAATTAAATAGTATAGGTCCCAGAACAGTCCCGTCCCAAGATAGTATTACTTGAAAATCTTCAGAACATTTTTTTATTTTTATGGGATTTTTAATCGATCTAAAAATTGGTAAATAGATGATTAAAAGAAAAATAGTTAATTCAAATTTCAATATGCTTATTCCCTGTTTCCAAATAATTAAATATAACCTGGCAACTATATGTACCTAACGATTCCAACTGTCAGAACTAGCCGGAACAGGAATGGTGCAGACAGGTGCATTTCCAGACCCTTCAACTACAAGATTACTTCATTATTACTAGGCTAAATGGCTGCATATCCATATATGACACAATAACTTAAAACATAATATTCAAAAACAAAAAATAATTTAAAGTAATCCAGCTGTATCTAAATTACCTATATTTTTCGACTTTAAGGAATGTGAAAACAGCTTTTAGAAAATATGTATTTTCTCTAAACTCACTTCAACTGGGATAACGCTTTTTGGCTTAGGAGGACAGAGTTGATAGCCAGGCCCTTTTAAAATACCCAATGATTTTTTCTTCTGGAAATTGACATTTCATCTTTACTTCTTCCGGAACAGGTTTAAAACTTTAATCTATAGTTTGATTTTAATTTGCTAATCTAATTGATGGAACACATTTAAATAAAAGCAATAATTTTATATATCAGTACTAAACATTCCGATACCAATTTAGAATTGTTTACATGATGGAAAATTACAAAATTATATTATTATATTATACCAAATTCAAATCTGTGTAAATATATTTTAAAACTCACCGCAATTTGAATCTCTCTCTTGGCAACATTAAGATCTTGTTCATTATTAACATACATCCTCTTGAGAGCATATCTACTTCCATTGCTTGACTTAACTGAATATACTATAGCAAAACCACCTACAGGAAGAAATATAATACTTTAGAGACTGTCAATAGATTGATAAGTGTATCCTCCCCTTTTACTGTGGATTTTAAGTTGTTAAATATTACCTTCAGCTAGGATATCTTCCACAGTGACCGTTTGTCTTCCAACTGTAAAGACTTTTCCCATATAATTATTGCTCTCTCGAGATGTATTGTCAATTTTCGTTTCAATTTTTGAGAACAATTTTTTCATTTTAGTTTCGGAAATATAATATTCACATTAGATTTTATTATAAACCTCACAAAATTATTTATTTTAACATTGCCTGTAAAAAATTTAAAATAAATTAATTTTTTTTATTATTAAAATCCACTAATAAAACATTTTTTGTGTAATTACAGCAATAAAAAATTGGTAGAGGACTAGATCAAACGACAAATGACAAAAATTTGACTTATGACAAAATAGAGAGTTAAAGAAGAAGTGATTAATGATCTTGTATGTTGTAAGTTATAAGGCCCGTATTTATAAACAGAACTTACGTGAGTCGGACTTGGGTAAGTCGTCCTTAAACGAAAATCGAAGTTCGGTTATATCGCGTGAATTTAGAGATGGGTAGTAACGAATTAGTAAATGTACATAACAGTTATATATTTGCTAATCTCCATCTCTAAATTCCAGTTTAACACCAGAACCACCTAGAACTTTAGAGGAGTGGTAACCGAACTTCGATTTTAGTTCAAGGACGACTTACCCAAGTCCGACTCAGCTGAGTTTTGTTTATAAATACGGGCCTTGGTCTACTAGGATAGACCGCTTTTTTAACCATTGTCATTACAGAGAAAAGGAAGGTACAGAATATGAAATAATAACAGAAGAGGAGAATAAATAAAAATAAGAAGGAAGTTGATATTTTTTACTTTTGTTTTCAAGTCCTTTAATTTTTCAAATTAAATATAAAGAAATCTGGCGTTAAGTTTTAACAGTAAGTATTTACTCATACAATAACTTAACTTTACATACATCTAACAAAATTTTATTAGCCTTCTGGAACTATAGCTCTAGTTCGTTTAGTGTTGGCAGAGACGTGTTGGTGATGTAAATAGTTTGTTTAAGCTTTAGTATAGAATTAATGTAAAAAAATATAGAATACATTGAGTTTCTTAGATATAGAAAGTATTTGATGAAAAAATATGAAAGCCTGACGTTTTACTGGCTGTCTCTGACACTGCTAATCTATTTCACTGAGTTATAGTATATATTTTGTAGGTACCCCATTGTAGTGGTTATTTCAGTGTAGCTAGGGCTAATCAATTTAAGTTTTCACTAATCCCATTAATCTTCCTTTTTGTAATTTTCAATACAAATTTTGTTGAATATTATATGAATTTTATTTAAACTTACAAGTAAATATTTAATCAAATAAAACCACTTTTCTGTTTACAGGCTTACGTTCAAGAAATAACATTTCTTTCTACTGGATAAATTTGATATATACACAAGCATACTTTCAAAATTAAAATGGAAACAGTAGATATTCAGGCAATGGAATCAAAATTAAGTGATGTAACCGTAACAGCTATTCCAATGAACAAAAACTCAAATACTGTAATACAACCTTCTCAACCCATAACAAAACAAGATCCAGGACAGTCAAAATATGCACAACTTTTAGGGGTAATTGAAGAAATGGGCAGAGAAGTTAGACCTACATATGCTGGGAGTAGAAGCTCAGCCGAACGTTTGAAAAGAAATATTGTTTCAGCTAGAATATTAGTCAGAGAATGCTTGATTGAGACTGAGAGAAGTGCTAGACAGTAGATATAGTGCATAAAATGGCTCATACATTATTTTTAAATAAGTACCGTCCAAAGAATGAGGTAATATATTTGTAACAGTAATTCTTAATCTTACCAATACCTACTAATTTTCCATTTATAGAATATTCCTATGAAAGTTAAAATACGTTTTTACCATTTGTTATTGTTTAAATAAGTTCCAACAATAGTTATTTATGTACAATATATACAAAGCTGGAAATGTGACTTCAGTGCTGAGCTATTTTTTTAAGGTTTTTTGGTAAATTACCAATTGATAATCTTCAAAATTAAGTATTAGTTATAACAGTATTTCCTAAGAGCAATTGAAATACTTTGATCATTTCTAATTTCAGTACTCATTAAAATGAGTATACAAGCCAAAATAAAAAATAACCCAGCCCATGATTTCTTAATTACAATTTGGAAACACTTTAATATGAATATATCAAAACATGTTGTTTTTTTATAATGGAACCAATTTTATTTAAACTTTCTTAAATCAGTTGTTACCTATATAAGCCTAAGTTGATTTTAAAATTACCAGCCCATTCAAGTGGCACTAAGTAAAAAAGTAAATTACTGATATTTATTTTTTTGTTTCTGTACCAAGATTTGGCCTAATTAAGTGGACGCCTTGATTAACTGGTGGACCAACAAAGCAGAATAGACTGTGTAACTGAAACTAAGAAAACTAAAGTGAGCTTTTTCTATAATGTATTCTTTATAATTTATTATAAGAGTACAAAAATACAAAGACATGATAACAGCATTAACTTCTGTGAAAATTTACACAATGCTTTTATACTCTTGCAATAATAATCAAAATTATAGAGTTTATAAAATACATGTAAGTGCTTGGTTATTGTATTTTTAAAGTTGTTCTGTTACACTGATAATATAGAGTGGATGTATTTTAAAATTGTAAGCAGTCAAAATTTAAATATTTTAAAACTTAGTATTTTCTATGGTATAATTTAATTTTATTATTTTCATAATATTCTGAATACTGTATTATATGCATTTGTCAAAAGTCAAATTTAACAATCAAGCTGTTTTGTTTACAAGAATTTCTTGAATTAGTTTTGCCAGTGATGTAAGTATGTGATATTTCCAAATAAAAATGAATTTATCAGGTATACAAACAGTACAAATAATTACAAGTTAAGTAACAGAGATATATCCTACTAATAGCTACGATATTTCACTTTGTATCAAACGTTTTTATAATATTATACAATTACTTGTTAAAATAGTTAGTTTCATATTGTAAATTGTTGTATATAAATATATATATTTAATTTTTTATGAAACAACCTAAATTGAACCCACTTATGACATAAGGAAAAATTTATCTTTTTGTTTCATTTTATTCCTTTTTTATAGTTGGGATCATTTCTAATTATATTCCGTTTTCAATGATTCTTCAAATAAAGTGTGTTCTTATTATTGTTTTTTTTTATTCCTTGTGCCCACAGAAAAAACTTAATTTTTAAAAAATGACACTAGGGGAGGTGAATCTTTACCCATACCTCATTTTTATTTAGCATCAATTATCTACTGTGTTAGTTTTTAAGTTTTATTTGGTCCTGGTTTAATTTTTTGGTATTTCTCAAATTATATGCAGTTATTCATATTGTTATGTCTGTGGAATTAGCTAGTTCAAACTTATATTTGAGAATTGAAGAGTTTTGCAATGGTATGGTATTAAGGAACATTGCAAGTGCAATTTTTATTCGTCATTTTAAAAGACATAAATTCATTTCAAGTAAAGATACACACTCCAATAAAGTAATACAAAATTTTGATCTGATATAAATAATATAATATTTAAGTTACAAAATTTTAAATACATATTTGTGTAAATTATGTAATTAGAACATACCATACACACATACAATAAAATAATCCAGACACATCCAGTAATTTAGAAGAGTTAAACTTAGGGTTGCCAGATTTACAAAAGGAAAAAGCATGGCATCGATGACAACAGGGGATTATATAAAACAGGTCCTTTTTTCTGGAGAAATCTAAAAAAGAAGGTCTTGTCTCTTCAAAAATTATTTATAAGTTTGGATTTAAAAAGCATAACATTTGAGTAAGGGTCGATCTTTTCACCTCTGAGTAAAGTTACATGTAAAGCATGGTATTTAGGCAAGTGTTGCATTTGAATACTTTGGCATGGGGTGTGGCAGCAAATAAAAAAGCATGGCAATCATGTCTAAAGCCTGGCATCTGGCAATCCTACTTATCCCGGAAGTACACATGTCAGTCAAAAGGACAGAGTGTTGATAAATTCAGTAGTAACACCCCTGGTATAATGGTGGTGGTATTGACCTTCTGAGAAAACTCAAGGCAGTTTTTCTACTACTGGCTGGTGCAACAATATTTGTTTTTATTTGGCACAGTAGTTATTAGTTCCTCATCTGACTGCAAAAAGTGACACATCATGTTTTTTCTTGTCATTTGTATTTGGGTACAGGGAAAAGGGGTGAACAACATGTACTATGTCCCAGTGGTGAGAGTTGTCCTGAAACCTGTCAAATTCAAAATATTTATTATGAATTTTTTCTGGCAATGACATAATTTACTTCTAGGTGTCTATAACAATAAAATCTCTTTGCAAGCGTTTTTTGTCATCTGGTTTTGTTACTTTCGGTGTAAGTGTAGGAATTTCCCTACATCAATATTTATTTAAAGTAAACAGAAACTCAAAAATGTGAATACAGTTAAATTGACTATACATGTGTAATAAAGTACTGCCAGGTTAAACTACATTTTAGTATTCTAGTCTAAACAAATTGTTTTTAGTTAGCAGTATACAGTACATTTTTTAATTTCTAAAGAATCTGATTCCCTAATACATTATTGAATTTAGCACATATAAATATTATGTATAATCTTGTCTGCATCACTGTTTTTATAAGTATATTTGCAATTTGAATAATTTTTCATATATATATACCAACTGGTTTAGTGATAAGTTGCTACTTGCCACCTAACTACATTTAATGACTGCTTTTACAAGCCCTAAATTACTGGATATAACTGGCTTTAAATCACATTAGATTTAAAGGATGACATCTTAGAAATAACTATACTTTGTCTTTTATTAATACAATTAATCACAAATAAATCATTAACTACTGGTTGCCCGTTCTTCAGCTGGAGATTCATTAGTTGTATGAACTGTCACAGGTGGTAAATAATATGATTTTACCAGGCTATGTAATCTAGCGACTTCCGCATCTTCTCGTTCCAAACAACGTAACATTTGTGTAAATTTTATAATCGCATCTCTTCCTTCGGGATAACCAAATTCCCTAATTATTTCCATTTGTATTTGCATTACTATTGGAAATAAAAATTGCATCATTTTTAACATCTCATTCCCTACATTATCTCTAGCTTCTTCAAGCTTTTGAACATTTTCTGTAGATTGTAATTCTTCTAAAGTTTTATTAAGGATTTCACGTGCTGTATCAACTGTAAGTATTGGTATTGTTTCAGATTTGGACATTTTCTTTTACAATATTTTTAAGTATATCAATTATCAATATCAACAAATCAATTAGGCATATGTGATTCCAAACTACTTTGATTTTCGATTTTCTTTTACTATACTTATACTATTACTTTTATTTTTCTATGACTATACGGAGAATGGTCGCACTGCGCAGCTTTCTGAGTGCCTTTTAGTCACATACACATACCCACATACGGCACATACTTTGATTTTCTTTACTATACGGCGCAAGAGAGAGGTCCGACCACATACTTTGATTTTCTTTACTTCTCCGTATAGTAAGAAAATCAAAGTATGTGGTACAATATGCACATTGGTTTTCTACCCAACTTCAGTTCATTGGACTAAACCGAACGCTAAAAGGGTCGTTTGGACTCAAGTTTGGAGTTAAAAGTGTTAAAGGAGTTAAAGGAACTTGGCAGACCGAACGCAATGATGGAGAACTCTTTCTAACTCCATGGCCTACGTCTATGCACATATGCAGGAAAAGAAATTTAAAAGTGTGGTTAGGTTTTATTTAGAATGGCGAAATAAATAATGGAATTGAATAATGTACAAACTTTGTATTCATTCGAAACTGAGTATAATGCAGATTCCGTGGAATGGTGTCCTCATGACCCACATAAAAATTTGTTTGTTTGTGCTAATTATCAATTAATAGAAAATGAAACGTCAGGTAAACTGAACCCTAAACTTGCTGCTGCATTTCTAATTCAAATAGCCTTAACATTACAGATAATTGTACTAAACGATTGGGAAAATTATTACTCTTCTCCATAGAAACAGAAAAAGGCTTACAATTACTGCAAACAATTAATACCTTAGCAATATTGGATCAAAAATGGTGCCATAGAAAAATTAATGATTTCTCTATACTTGCAGTTGCAAGTACAGAAAGAAAGGTAGATATTTATAAACTTAATGAAGAAACAGTACAATTAGAGTTGATGAAATCTTATAAAATCAACAGTACACCAGAAACATTAGTTTTGTCTTTAGATTGGTCAACAGGTATACATGTTTTAAATAAGCCAGAAATTCTTTGTAGCGATTCAAAGGGAAATATACATCTGCTTGAATTAAATGATAATGTAGCTTGGAAGGAAACTTTTCATGGCCATGAATATGAAGCCTGGATTGCAGGATTTTATTACTGGGATACCAATATTATTTTTAGTGGTAAGCAGATCATTTTTAGCTCTTTTGTTACTCTAGAAAAACATTTATACCTAGTCTGGTTTTGCAATAGGATTAAGCATCAAGATCAAGAGTTATGATATTATTTATAGTGGATTTTATTTGTTGAACTAGGTGTGTTTTGCACTAATTGCATTTGATTTGTTCAGTGTAGCTTCAAATATTTGAGTGTAGATAAAGTGTAACTGTTTTATTTGCAAACAAATGTACACTGAATCTACACCTTTACACTGATTTTCAACTGTAGTGTAGCTATCAAATATGTGTGATAATTTGCAGTAAACGACATAAACAAGTATTTGAAATTAAAAAAACCGACTTCAAAAACGTGTAGATGCCATCACCACATCTTAACCAAATTTATATGGGACCACCCCTAAGGTACCCCCTTACTAACAAAAAAAGAATCATATAAATCGGACAAGATGGTAAAGCATAATCGCTAAACATACATAAAAAATGAAGAGTTTGAGGATTTTCTCATGGACCCAATTATTAGATTTTGACCAAATTTATATGGGACCACCCCTGAAGTACCCCCTTTCTAACAAAAAGAATCATTGAAATTGGTCACTGTGTTAAAGAATTATCTCTGAACATACATAAAAAAAAATATTGTGATGAATTGAGAACCTCCTCCTTTTTTGAAGTCTGTTAAAAATAAGAGTGGATCTGAATGAATATGTGGTGGATGGTGTATACATATATTAAGATGGGTGATTTTAATAAAGCAATGGCTATATGTGAGCTTTATATGAACTTCTTTTATTAGAAAGAATGTAATTAAACAAAATGATATACTTCACTGAAAATATAATCGATCAATATTAAGAAGTAAGTTTATTCTAGAAATAAAATTGTACCAAAATGTAAAACCACTGAATATGAGACATTTTTAAAAAAAAGTGATAGATATCTAGAAAAAATGAACACTAATTTTACTTGTACAGTAGGCAAGTCTCATTGTTTTGATCACATTTGATTTAAGTGTTGCACTTAAACCAAACCATCACGAAAAATATACTTTTGATAAGTATGACAGTTCATATACAATGCCCAGTGTGACACTAGTGCAACAAATAAAATCCATTATTAGAAATAATTAAGACGGCCCAATGGGGAGTCAGATAAGTAATTAGTTCATAAGATTTTTAAATTAAAATTCTAGGTTAGTCTATAATGACTAGTAACAATACTCAAATAAAGAAAAAAAGTTATGAGAATTTCGTCACTAACATGAAGAAGGGGCGGATCTCAAAAACTCCTGGATTTGAGTTAGGTCACGAGGCGTTTTCGGAAATTTATATATATTTATATACGTTATACCTATGTTGGCATTGACACAATATTTTATGTTATTAGCATTTTCAAAGTAAAAAAATCCAGATTGAAGTTAATCAAAATCTTTAAACTTTAATTACTCAAATTTTGTAATTTTGAGATACGCCTGTTCATCTTGTTAACAATGAATTATGGAAAACTCTTTTCACATACTGTGACCCCCCCCCCAGGCCCCCTTTTCTTTTTGATTTGTTCTTGTGTTTTACTCTTAAATGTGTTATTATTTATTTACCTCACAAGTTTTATTTTATTTTTAATTCTATACTTACTGTAATTGGCCTTTTTTCTTCTAGTAGTAAAAGTGATCGTCTAGTTAATTTATTGATAATTTGTATACCCACGTTGTTATAATGTTAATTAAGGTAAACCAGAATTCGATGCAAAGTTTGGTGCAAATTGATAAATAAAACATACAAATTCATATGTATACTCCTTTTTTTATTTTTCATACTTTAAATGTGATGCAATAGTTAGCAAAGTATATTACAATTGTTACTATTTACTGAGATCTCACTTGAGTTCCGTTCAAACGCAGACCATATTCATTTGCTATCAATATATATTTTATTTAGGTTGATGACCAACAGAGTTAACAAACAGCATCAATTCGCCAGTTGATTAACTATAGTGTTGTTGTTTATATTCTTATCTAAGTTGATGACCAATGAAGTTAACGAACAGCGCCAATTCGCCAGTTGGTTAACTATTGAGTTGATGTTGATTTGATTCTATTGTAGATATATACAGGTTGTACCCTCTTAGGTAAATATTACGATGAGTATAGAGGTGATGACCAACGGAAGTAATAAACAGCGCCAATTCGCCAGTTGATTACCTTACTATGTTGATTTCACATATACTTTGTTTCAAACCTTGTAGAACGGGTTGCTTAGCGTATAGGTGTCCCCCCTTGAGCTAAGGAACAGCGTATTCGCCAGTTGGTTAACTTACTATTAAATTTTACCATCTTGGTTTGTACAATTTATCCAAGATAGCACAACCCTGTATATTTCCAAAATATTGATTTTTATCATTTCTATTGACAATACTTAATATAATTTCTATTAAAATACTCATAATTTCACCCATCCAAAACAGATGTTATCCTATCTTTCGTGGTGTATGACCTGAAGGCCATGTGGTTTATTGATAATATTTTACAGCAAATGTCAAGCCTGCCCTTAAGGGAGCGTTCAAGTATTACGTAACGCAATTTTTGGAGATTTTTAACCCCCCTCCCCCCCATGTAACGTGCCGTAACGTTTTTGTGAAGGTAAAAAAAGGTCAAATGGTGACTTGAAATTTTTAGAAAAAGAAACGTTTTAAAAAATGCGCGAGAGAAACTCTCTACGCGACTTTTCTGAAGGGTTAAAAAATAATAATGTTGCGTAACGCGTAGTTCAAACGCTCCTGTAACGCATCGTAACGTTTTACAAAAAACCCCCTCCCCCTCCAAATTCGTTACGTAATACTTGAACGCTCCCTAAACGAAACTGGGGTGGTATCTCAAAGAAAGATATGTAAATCTTTTGACTCGCTACTGAAAATACAGACATTAGATTATGTACTAATTTCATCTAGCGTCGTGGAAGGCGTCGATTTGGGTACGTCGCGGCGTTGGGCGCCGCCTCGCGTCGAGACGCCTAGCGTCGTGGTGGAAAGGAAGGTATTTAATACGGTACTGTATTGGGACAGATATACGGTAGAATTATGGAGGTGGTGCGGGACGTGATTTTATGAAGGAAATATTTGGGGACGGCAAGCGTCGGAAATAAGGCGTGGGACGTTGAGCGTCGAAATGAATGTACGGTAGGAAATACTTAGATGATGAGGAATGTGACAGCGTTCGAGACGTAGGGAGTAGGACGTTGAGACGGTGACACCTTCGGGGATAGGAGGTATTGTAGGATAGACGTCGTTTAGGAAGAGCGTTTTAGGAAAGGTACTGATTACTGAACTTGAAATATAACTGGATTCAAATAATAAATGAATGTTTGCACATCAAATAATTGAAAATGAATGACCCGAGCTCATTTTTGTCTGGCTTCTTATAATAAAAGTTTTAATGGCTTTGTGACGTCTCTATGTCTTTAGTTCTCATAGAAATACTGTGGGTGCAGGGGAGGGTTATTTATTACTTGTTTTGAAAGCTTTGTGTATTGAAATAGTCGAAATCGGTCTAGAAATCGAAACTAAAAATATAAGCGAGTTAAGTGTTTTAATGATAATTACTTCGTAAACAGAAATACGCTTTATGGTGTTTTCTTTGGGCTGGTTCTCAGCCACGTGCACTAATTTTGGATCTTTACGGACGTGGTTATAGCTATTATTTATTAGGTGTTGTAAATAAGATTTAATTATCTGGGAGATTTTTCGTTAAATGAAGCATTTTGAATTTAAAAGAATGCAATATTGTATTTAATAAATGAAATTAATAAATTATTAAGGTACCTGGGTGCGGTAGGTTACAATACATTAATATAAAAGTTCTTTAATCATCTGTTTTTGATGCTTTTCTTATGAATCTCATGTAGAATTTAATTTCATATTGTTTTTTTTTTATTTATCAAAGTATGAATAACTAAAAATGTAGGTTAATGATGAAATAATTTTAATTCTTAGGATAATTTGAACACATGATTAGCCGAGAAAAGCAGGGGCTATTTTCAAACTCAAGAGAAAAGAGTGTTCTATCGAGAGAAAGGAGTATCTGAATCCATAATGTATTCCTTTATCCTTTATTTTCAAACACCTTATAGAAAGAGTTGTTTGTTGTTTTCCCTTGGCGAATCATGTCAAATTCTCCTAAGAATTTCCACATGATTAGCTGAGGAGGTAAAAAACAACTCTTTCAGAAAGGTGAAAATAATCCTGTCTCTCAAGTTGAAAATGGCCACTCAGCTAAATGAAAGATGGCCTGCTTTATTATAGATTAGCTTACAGAAATCCAAAGAATACAATTTAATTAATTTTTTATTATTAAAAGTTGAAAACCGAATTTCTCTTATTGGATTTAGGCGGAGACGACAGTCTATTTCTAAAATTTGATAGAAGAGTGGGAAAGCAGCCAGTTTCAAAAAATAAAAGTCATGAAGCCGGTGTAACCTCTTTTCATTCCAATCCATCTAAAGAATATCTCGTAACAAGTGGAAGGTAAACAAATTTCCATTATATTTCTAAAATTTAATGACTTATTTTGTATTCAACTTCCAGTAATGGCTATTATTTTGACTTTCAGTTAGAAACTAACATTATTGAAACCAAATTGTAATATATTACCAAATCAAAGTGGATTTTTATTTTATTAATACCAACTTACATTTTGTTTATATTTTTTAGTTATGATGAAAATGTAAGACTATGGGATATTAGAAAAATGAAGACAGAATTAAATTGTCTCAAAATGCCTGGAACCCTTTGGCGTTTAAAATGGGATCCCTTTCAAAACACAAAATTACTAGCAGCTTGTATGCTTGGAGGAGTACATATTGTTAATACCAATTCTGATGAAATGGAAATTATTGGAAGTTACTATGAGCATAAAAATATTGCATATGGCTCTGATTGGTCGTATCTGGAGGAGAAAAAATGTGATGAATTTGAAGGATTAGGTCAATATATTATTAGCTCTTGTTCATTTTATGACAGATTATTGTGTGTATCAAAAGTACATTTACCTAGTTAATAAATAACATAACATTTGTATTACTTACTTTAGTTACCTATTTATCACATAGTATATTTTTAGTAAGATAATAATGTTATCTATGTGTCACATTTGGTTTTAAGACAATAATTGGTTGGTATCTGTCTTGGAAAAGGGCATAGCAAATTAAGATGTAGAAAAGTAATTTTTTTTAAATCACAAGGTTGATAAATAATGTGTTGCTAGTTTTTATACCCGTTTTTCTCAAATTTTAAACCATATCAAATATTTTTTATTAAAGAATTGATTTCATTTCAAAAAGGCAGAATAAAAATTCCTCAATCTAATAGCATAATCAATATTTTGTAAGTCGTCTTAGAGCACCACAGTAAATAAAAATAGAAATGAAGCGAGAAGGTATTTAAAGTGTGTAATTATTGAGTTTTATTTAATAAAACTCCATAAAATAATTCGTCTGAGCGCTTTCGGCCTCTTAAGCCATCATCAAAGACTTCGTCAAAAAAATTTTAAACATCAAAAAAGTAAACTAAAATAATAAGGGGCAGCAACTGACCCTTATTAATTTACTTTCTTGATGTTTCTTCTAAAGTTTTTTTGATGATAGCTTAAGAAGGCGAAAGCACTCAGACGAATTATTTTATGGAGTTTTATTAAATACAACTCAATAATTATACACTTTAAATACCTTCTCGCTTCATTTCTTATTACCTAGTGTGTACACACCACTGAACCTCTTCAAATAATAATAGGCTTTCCCTTCTGACACAAGCTCTTTTCAGGTATTCATTCATAGGAGGGTGATATGAGAAAATGACTTATTTATCTATGATAGGGAAAGTATTATTATTTAAACAGATTAATGTCTGAAACACTGCATTCATTTTTTTATGGAAGACATTTTAACTAAAAGTCTACTTAGTATAATTAGAGGTAAAAAAAACATTAATTAGTTAAAAGATTTATCACAAATTATTGTAATTTATAAAAATACTTCCCATTAATTAGTATCATTTAAAGTATTTGCATATTGAAATTCGGGACTGTTTTCATAATCACACATATCCAATGCTACCTCACAACTTTCTTTGACCACCCTTTTGGGATCATGCATGTATTTATTCAAAATTTCTGTACATTCATCTGTTGCAATTGCACCTAAAGCTTCTGCACATTCGTGTCTCACCATTTCATTCTCTTGTTCATCTTCAAGAGATTCTTTGAGGTATACAGTGGCTCTTTGATCTTGTAATTGTCCCAAAACAAAGGCTATTTCATGTTTAAACAAAGCGCTGCCATGTTTTAATGCAATACCTAATGCATCAATTGATTCTTTTGTTTGCATATTTCTCAAAGAAAACATTGCCCTGTATCTTTCAAAAAGAGATGCATTTCTATCTAACAAAATTTTCTGTAAAATTTCAACATTTAGCTCAGTACTTGGAGGAGCAGGATCAACAGATTTATAGGGGTTTTCTGAAAGGCCCCCTTTTTGAGTTTGTAACCATTTGATCCTATCTAAAGCAAGTTGACAAGTTTCTGCTACTTCTACCACAGGATCATTTTTGTGTTTCTCCAGGATTTCTATACTTTCAGTACTGCCAATGGCGCCTAAAGCTTCTCCTATAAAATAAACATTTCTCACTTTATAATATTCAAACGCCACCGATGTATTAATACAATTACTATTTATGTGGTAACAATAATAACCCTAATTTCATACCTGCTTCGTGCCTAACCATGGGTTCTTGTTTTGTATCTTCTAAAATGCTAATCAATATTGAATTGGCTTTCTTATCTTGCATTTGACCCAGACAGTAAGCTAATTCGTGTTTTAATAACACTGAGGAATCAGAAAAACATGATTGGATGCATTCGATAGACACATCACCACCGATGTTTCTTAACGTAAACAATGCTCGAAAACGTTCTTTTAATGGCCGGTTTACATCATTTAATACTTTTCCAATAGATCTGATTTGATAATCCGTTATATTGACCATATTGTATACTCTTTGTCTTCGATATTGTTATTTAAAAAATAAATTAACCTTAATTTAATATTTAATACAATGTCTAATCTTCTTATTATAATTATTCCGTGACCTTCATAATAATGATACGCTAGCTATTATTTAAACCGTTTTGTCAAAACACAAAAGATCAATTATTATTAAAAAAGAAGAATCTAAATCTCGAATATACAGGGTGATTCATTACTATTGGGACATAGGCAAAGGGCAGGTTATTTGGACCAAAATAATATGAGGCTTTTCTTATATTCAACAAAATGATGGATCACGTGACCAATAAACTGCGACTGGTGCAATCCTGATTTTTATTATTTAAGAACGACTGACATTTGTGATTTTGTAATCTTAACTGTCCCATTGGGGTCTATTCTGTAACAATTCCTTTATGTTTTAACGGCCGTTAAAAATATGTTCGTATTCGTTAATTGACTTCTGTCATTATTTAAACGAATTCCTTTAAAGAGATGTTAAAATTCGCCTTTAATTTTCAACGGTTTTGAATTGAAAATTGAGGATTTGTATGGTTGTTTTCAAACTAGTTCAAATAAATCTTAAATGCGATGTTGTCAAGTGTTCTCCTGCCATTTTTTAGGGAATCCGTTAAAATAAATAATTTTTAACAGGCCTCTAAAATTTGTGTATACAGAATACCATTTTTGGTTAAAAAAATTAACGGCCCGCTAAAAGTTTAATTTTTAAAGGCCTTTAAATTTTAACGGATGTGTTACAGAATAGACTCCAAACTGTCTTTATTTAATTAAAACAAATAAACCTATGCACTTTTTTGATAAGCATAAAAGCTAAAAACAAGTATGGGTAATACAATAATTGAAAAAATATGTACTTGCCTTCATTTGCTTGCTATATATTTAATGCTGACAATCGTATTTTAAAAGTTAACCCACATTGGGGTCTATTCTGTAACAATTCCTTTATATTTAACGGCATTTAAAAATATTTTCTTCTTTACTTCTGTCATTATTTAAACGGATCTTTAAAATACATTAGAGGACTATCTTAAAGAAATCTGTTTAAATAATGACAGAAGTAAATTAACGAATACGAACATATTTTTAAAGGCCGTTAAATATAAAGGAATTTTTACAGAATTGACCACTTAGAGATTGATTTAAAAAACCCAGCGAGTTTCTGTATTCATATTATTAAGAATTTTTAGCAAACTATTCCTATTTCCTTATCTGTTTAAAACACATTGCGTGCCAAGCCGTGATTGGGAATTTGGCTCTGGGGGCCAAACCACAGTTTTCTATTCTGTATCTGTAACGTGTGGAGGGTGGGCCCATTGTGCATCCTCCTGAGAAGATAGGCACCTCCTAGCTCGTGAGCCAGCCTATAGATTTAATGTAGTTGACAACGTCGCCAAGAGGTACTTCTCTTATATCGGCCGGTGTTAGCCGATACTCGCCGAACACAAATCTTCTAATAAATGAGAGCGTCGAGCAATCATAAAGGATATTCTCGATGGTCTCATCTTCTTGTTCGCACCCTCTGCAGAGTGCGGATTCTGACAGCCCCATGATATGGAAATGCTTTCGTACTTGGCAATGACCAGTCAGAATGCCTGTGACTAGGCGCAAATTCTGTCTAGATTTGTTTGCTGTAGTGTTGTCAGGATAACTTAAGAGCTCCCTGGCAACTCTGCAGTTTCTTGTTTCATTCCAACTTTCCTTGAATTTCACAAGAGAATGTTCTTTGATTAGGTCTGACACTGCCGATTTTGTCAGGTCAATAGAAGGGCTAGGTCCAAAAAGTATTTGGTTGGCCGCTTTCTTGGCTAGTGAAACAGCAAGACGGTTGCCTTTCGATGTGGCGTGACCTTTAATCCATCTTAAGGTGACCACGTTGTTGATGGATACTTCGGCCAAAGCTTCGTGACATTCTAGTACTAACCCTGAATAAATTCGTGGTCTGTTCAGGGTGAGTAGTGCTTGTCTGCAATCTGTATAGATGAGCATGTTCCTTCCAGTAATATTGTTTCTGGTTATTTCTTTTGCTGCTATGAGAATCCCCGTTAGCTCTGTTTGAACTATACTGGCACTATTGCTCACAGTCCATTTTATGTTTAGGTTTAAGAATCTGGAGTATATTCCACAACCTGAGCCTTGTTTTGTTTTAGAACCGTCGGTGTAGATATGAATCGTACCTGCCACTTCCGGCTCTTCTATTTGTCCTATTATAACTTTATATGGCTTATGAAAGATATATTTTGGTGAGATGGAGTCCATGTTCGCTTGAAGCAGTGGGAACGTATCCAGCGCCTCCTGCCAAAAGTGACGTCTCGCCTCACCAGATCCTACATCAGGTTCTATTCCGACCGTGCGGAGGCGTGTCATTGTCGTCAGAGCAACCTCCTTGATGTAAATATCAAGGGGAGTGAAATTAAGAATGACTTCCATCGCTCTAGTCGGTGTTGTTTTCATGGCTCCTGTTATGTTGAGACATGCTGTTCTTTGAATTTGTTCTAGTGTAATGCGCTAGTTCAGTGATGATGTAATTATGGTTCCACTGACAATTAAAGTGACAGTAGATTTTTTGAGAGCGTTTTGTTCACCTAAATTATATCGTTTTTCACTTTTATAAATATATTCCTAAAGTAAGTAGATAACATGCATCAAATATACAATCGTTTAGTTACAAATTACATACCTTCAAACTATTTTTTATGACTTGTAAACAATAATTAAAAATAAACTTAAAACAGTAAAAATGTATATGTCAAATTTATTGATGTTTTTGTTAAAAGTTTGGTTAGAATTAAATGTCAGTGGAACCAAAATGACATCACACTGAACTAGCACATGAAGTCAATTTTTATTAATTAAATGTCAGTGGAACCAAAATGACATCACACTGAACTAGCGCATGAAGTCAATTTTTATTATTTTTTTTTAACTAATTCTGGGTATTAATTTCGATTTTTACTTAATTTTAACTTCGTGGATATGCCCTGTATATCATCAGTTTTATCGCTGTTCAAACCATCATCGAAGTACTCTGCCTGCGGGAGTTTTAATGGTGGGATTTTCTGGTAGTGGAAGGGCCGCGACGACTGTACGAGCTCCGAGATTGAATTAAAATTTTAGTTACTAAAACACCGATTTATTGAACAGTTGACTTGCTTTTACACCGTGAAATCGAATAGTCGAATAATTAATACGATACATTTCCGAAACCCATTTGTAGCCGCGATTTTACCGATAGGTAAATTGTTGTCATTTTTTTCTTTATAATTTTTTCTTGCCCAAGACTTTAAGGACAAGTTCAATGACAAGTGACTGCGACTTTTTTATCACAAGAAATACAGCTCTGAACGATAATATTTTCAAAAACTGTTTTCATAAATGGGTTCAAAAAACTGTAAAAAATGACGGAAAGTCTATGGTTTGTTTTACTTTTAATGCATAATATTTTAATAAGTGATATTTAACAAATATTTAAAAGTTATGGACTTTCCATCATTTTTTATAGTATTTAAAAGTTAAAACGCAACATACATTCTTTTATTTTTGCCTAATTATTTCAGGATTCTTGTGATAAGATTTAAAAATGTAGGGCCACATACTTTGATTTTCTTTTACTATACGGAGAATGGTCGCACTACGCAGCTTTCTGAGTGCCTTTTAAAAGGAGATAGAAAACTCCGCCATTTTGAATCCTTATTACGTGTTGCCTACATTGACATTTTCCAATGTAAAAATGTCGTTTTAAGGTATACTTATCGTTAAGGCTTCCTTAAAACAGTCGGTGCAAACGGCCATTAGTATCATTCCTCTGTAATGTTTTGTATCATTAGGAACACCAACATTGTAAACAATTATGACCAGGGTTTTCTAACCTTTTCCTTAGGTCAGAGAGAATAAATGAAAACTAAATAATGTATAGTAATAAAGATTGAAAATATATATACTTTTAAGAGTTTTATTATGTCAGCCATAGTTTTATACCAAAAATGAAAATAAACTGAAATTATACATTAAAAATACATTCATAAATTAACTATATTTATAACACTCATCGACTCTCTCTTGGCTAAAATATTACTTATCTATCTATTCGGCTCTGTTCCGTCTATTTTTTGCCTTTAGCCTCCTTCTGACACTTCCATTCGTTCTTATTCAGTGTAGTATGCATAGTTTTCAGAATATCAAGTGTTATACCCATCTGATGCTTGGTCCTGCAAAGTTCATCTTCAGTATACCTGCTTATGTGACATCTATCTCGATGTCAAGTTTGATTGAACACCCGTTTCTTGCCTATTACTCTTATACTTAACCAGACCTAGCTTAGACTCGAACGCATATGTCTAATTCGGCCAAAACACAGCCTTGGTACACAAATATCTATTTTACCGCTGGTTTCATTACAAAAAACTGGAGTAAAGGGTAAAATTATCTCTTGTCCAGTACACTCGTATACACTTGGGTATTAGGGTGAGATTACAGAACGTCTGCAACTTTGCAAATATGGCGGTAACTTTGCAGATCTGCAAATATGGCGGACTTACATATGCATGTATCAAGTTTTCGTTTTCCAAAAAAGATCTGCAAATTCGCAATATATATTGTGGTTTATTACCCCCAACAACATTAAACAAAAATCCATAACTATGTTTAAAAACTCGATAATCTGACACCATGAAATGTATTCAATCAAAAGAAACAGAAGACTTCATGGTCGTAGGATGTTATAACCTTCTTAAGGGTGGATTTGGATTTAGTGTTGTTAGGTGTAATAAATATTGCGAATTTCAGATATTTTTTGGATACTTGCATCTGTAAGTCCGCCATATTTGCAGATCTGCAAAGTTCTGTAATCTCACCCTAAGCCTATATTATTTTTGATTGAAGACGTATACATTTAAAAATGTCGTTTACTAAAAAATAAACATTTAATTTTGATATTTTATTTAATTCAATCAAAACATTAAATTAATATTTTCCATTTATATATGGCTTATACCGGACCTGTATGTACTCTAATCTACTCTAATAGCCATGGAGTAGCTGACAGTGTTGCCGTCAGTT